GTGGGGATGGTACAGTGCAGGAGGAGGGAAGGTCAGTGATTACATTGATGGAGTGAGAATGGTACAGTGCTGGAGGAGGGAAGGTCAGTGCTTACAGTGATGGAGTGGGGATGGTACAGTGCTGGAGGAGGGAAGGTCAGTGCTTACACTGATGGTGTGAGGATGGTATAGTGCTGGAGGAGGGAAGGTCAGTGCTTACAGTGATGGAGTGGGGATGGTATAGTGCTGGAGGAGGGAAGGTCAGTGCTTACACTGAAGATGTGAGGATGGTATAGTGCTGGAGGAGGGAAGGTCAGTGCTTACACTGAAGGAGAAGTTAGGATGGTATAGTGCTGGACGAGGGAAGGTCAGTGCTTACACTGAAGGAGAAGTTAGGATGGTATAGTGCTGGACGAGGGAAGGTCAGTGCTTACAGTGATGGAGGGGGGATGGTATAGTGCTGGAAGTGGGAAGGGCAGTGTTACACTCTGAACGCGGAGTGGAGATGTTACAGTTGGAGGGTAATGTGAAATGTGATGCCAGCACACTCCCGGAATAACAGTATTTGAACGAATGATGGAAAATGTGCTTTCTACTTTGGGTCACCCTGCCTTGATGGTAAACAGCGACCGAAGTAAGAATAAATAAGATGCATGTCGTGCCTTTCACTCAGATTTGCGAGGTAAGATTTTCCACTCCTGGAGCCATGTTATTGTTGTCAGATGCTCCACTGATTGCCAGAGTAACTCTATAGCATTGAACAGACGGAGTTTCGAGCTCATACAATATGTGCTCAATGATCCTCGTGGTTTTACCAACTCATATTAATATACTAAGCTACCATCCTCTTATTCTTAATTTCTACACTTTCAAAAGGACACTAGTCTGCGTGTGTGTATGTACTCACCTCGTTGTGGTTGCAGGGGTCAATTCACAGCTCCTGGCCCCGCCTCTTCACTGGCCGCTACTGGGTCACTCTTCCTGCTCCTTGAACTTTATTATACCTCTTCTTAAAGCTATGTATGGATCCTGCCTCCACTACATCGCTTCCCAAACTATTCCACTTCCTGACAACTCTGTGACTGAAGAAATACTTCCTAACATCCCTGTGATTCATCTGAGTCTTCAACTTCCAACTGTGACCGGTAGTTGCTGTGTCCCATCTCTGGAACATTCTGTCTCTGTCCACCTTGTCGATTCCTCTTACTATTTTATATGTCGTTATCATGTCCCCCCTATCTCTCATGTCCTCCAGTGTCGTCAGGTCGATTTCACTTAACCTCTCTTCGTAGGACATACCCCTTAGCTCCGGGACTAGTTTTGCTGCAACCCTTTGCACTTTCTCTAGTTTCCTTACGTGCTTGGCTAGGTGTGGGTTTCAAACTGGTGCTGCATACTCCGACATGAGCCTAACGTACACAGTGTACAGGGTCCTGCACGATTCCTTATTAAGATATCGGAATGCTGTTCTGAGGTTTGCTAGGCGCCCATATGCTGCAGCAGTTCTTTGTTTGATGTGCGCCTCAGGAGATGTGCCGGGTATTATACTCACCCCAAGATCTTTTTCCTTGAGTGAGGTTTGTAGTCTCTGGCCCCCTAGACTGTACTCCGACTTTGCACTTGGTGGGGTTGAACTCCAGGAGCCAGTTGCTGGACCAGGCCTCCAGCCTGTCCAGATCCCTTTGTAGTTCTGCCTGGTCCTCGTCCGACTGGATTCTTCTCATCAACTTCACATCATCTGCAAACAGGGGCACTTCGGAGTCTATTCCTTCCGTCATGTCATTCACAAACACCAGAAACAGCACTGGTCCTAGGACTGACCCAATGGGGGGGGCCCCACTCATCACAGGCGGCCACTCTGACACCTCGCCACGTACCATGACTCGCTGTTGTCTTCCTGACAGGTATTCCCTGATCCATTGTAGTGCCTTCCCTGTTATCCCTGCCTGGTCCTCCAGGTTTTGCACTAATCTCTTGTGTGGAACTGTGTCAAACGCCTTCTTATAGTCCAAGAAAATGCAAACTACCCAACTCTCTCTCCTTTGTCTTACTGCTGTCACCCTGTCATAGAACTCCTGTAGGTTTGTGACACAGGACTTCCCATCCCTGAAACCGTCGTTGATCAGCTCATTCCTTTCTAGGTGTTCCACCACTCTTCTCCTGATAATCTTCTCCATGACTCTGCATATTATACATGTCAGTGACACTAGTCTGTAGTTTAATGCTTCGTGTCTGTGTCTTCTTTTTTTAAAAAACCTGGACTACATTTGCTGTCTTCCATACCTCAGGTAGTCGCCCTGTTTCGACAGATGCGTTGAATATTGTTGTTAGGGGTATACATAGTGCCTCTGCTCCCTCTCTCAGGACCCAACGAGAGATGTTATCCGGCCCTATCGCCTTTGAGGTATCTAGCTCACTTAGCAGCTTCTTCACTTCCTCCTCGGTTGTATGTATTGTGTCCAACACTTGATGGTGTATCCCACCTCTGCGTCTTACTGGAGTCCTTTCTGTTTTCTCTGTGAACACTTCTTTGAGTCTCATGTTGAGTTCCTCACATACTTTGCGGTCGTTTCTTGTGATCTCTCCTCCTTGCTTCCTCAGCCTGATTACCTGGTCCTTGACTGCTGTTTTTCTCCTGATGTGGCTGTACAACAGCTTCGGGTCAGATTTGGCTTTCACTGCTATTTCATTTTCATGTTCTCGTTGGGCCTCCCTTCTTACCTGTGCATATTCATTTCTGGCTCTACGACTTCTCTCCATATTCTCCTGGGTCCTTTGCCCTCTATACTTCTTCGATTCTCTGGCACACTTGGTTTTGGCCTCTCTACACCTTTGGGTGAACCAAGGGCTCATCCTGGATTTCTCGTTATTTCTGTTACCCTTGGGTGCAAACAAGAATAGGGGCGGCAAGTCGAAGGGCAACACCAATGCTGATGGTCTGTGGGTCGAGCTGTGTGCCAAGGCTGGAGTTGGGAACAGCCAACAGAAACTCCCCTGCATGAGGAGCTCTCACTGCCAGGAGGTGGGCTCTATCCTTCCCTGACACACTCTGAAGCATTGGTGAGGCTATTTCCTCCACTATCGGGCCATCCCATTGCGACTGTCTGTAGTTTTTGGGGGGAGCAGGTCTGGTTTCAGAGCCTGTTAGATTATTCCAGATCATGGCTCTGTCATTGAACTTTTGGTACTGAACTCCAATCTTGTTCCTAAGATGTTCAGGGAGAATTGCTGCTACAAGCCCTCTGGATGCAATGCATGAGGACAGAAAAGCAGGTAGTGCAATCTGTGATGACTTACGGACACAGTGGAACCTCTGGTCACGAATGCTTTCGAACATGAACAAATCGATTCACGATAAAAAAAAATCGCCTAATTTTTGCATCTGGTTACAAACACATAATCGGGTGCCGAACAAACACAGCCCCCCAATTTTCCCATTTCGAGCCATTTTTTTTGCACGTGCCAATTTTCCCCACTTCCTGTTGTTTGTGTATACCTAACAAAGACCCTCGCCTTGTAGTCGGTCTCGGTCAGAGGTGCGTTCATTCGCTGTGAACTCGAGGATAAGGGAAAAAGTACCATTCTCTTATCCCCTTATACACTCGCAATGCACCATAAAACTAAGTACGTTTATTCAGGTATACACAAATACAGTTACACAGGTTATCATACATAGCAGCATATGTGTAGAGAACCTAGGATAACCCAAAAAAGTCAGCGACTTATTTTCTCGATTTTTTTTCTTTTTTTGGGTGCACGCTCGTTTTCGTCGATTATTTCGTAAGTTATGGCCGTGATAAATTCGGATTAGCAATGTTTTATCAGCAGGTAGTGCACAAACAGCTTCTCGCAGTGCCAGTGCCCAGCTAGGGCTTGCCATATATGATTTTTGGTAAATATTCTTTTTTCTCGGTGTGTTGGGCTATTTTATTGAAACTTGGGCAATGCGGGATGGAAAGATGCTTCTTAACGTACACCAAAAATGAAAGAAATCAGATAATAAATAACAGAGTTCACTTCTCAGCCATTAGACGTAGGGGGTCTAGAACCGACTCGTGCAATGCTAGTTTTCTGTTTTCTTAGTGTTATTTTTGTGCTTAAAAATCTAAAAAAAAAAAAAAAAAAAAAAAAAAAAAAAAAAAAAAAAAAAAAAAAAAAAAAATATATATATATATATATATATATATATATATATATATATATATATATATATATATATATATATATATATATATATATATATATATATATATATATATATATATTTACATACAGTTCGTAGGGGTCTGGAACGGATTAATCGTTTTTAATGCAATCCAATGGGGAAATTAGGTTCGGGTCACGACCAAATCAGGTCGCAAACAGAATTTTGGAACAAATTATGGTCGTGACCAGAGGTTCCATTGTATATATATATATATATATATATGAGAGAGAGAGAGAGAGTTAGTAAGTTATGTAGGCAGAGTGGTGGTCAACAAGTATCGCACATCATGATGCGACATGTGTTACACAAACAAAACAAACGGATCAAACATATTCACTGGTGTAATCCCAAAAAATTTAAGCACAAGTGTTCCATATAATGATTTAATTTAAACATGTGTGCCACTAAGTTGTTAACTAAACACCAGTTTTGTCCCTTCAGCGTTAATACAATCACGTATTTACACAGATTTAAGATAAGCAGGTGTCTTCTCAAATGTTGAACATACGCAGGTGCTTCGCTATGAAGGATTTACATGAACAGGTGTTCCTTAAATATTAAAGGTTTTTGACACAAAAATCTTTTTTTTTCAAAATATCAAACAAAACAGGTGTCTGCCTTAAGGTTTACTATAAACAGGAGTCCACCCGGAGGTTTAATATAAACAGGTGTCCACCCGAAGGTTTAATATAAACAGGTGCACTAACGATACCACCACGACAGAGGGGTGATCCGGGTCAGGTCAAGACGTGAATCTAGTCAGTACACCTGTCTGTCACCAGACAGGTCAAGGTCAACCAGAGTTTCCACTAACCTGTTCCTCATCCTGCTGCTGCTGCTCCGGAGGTAGGAGACGCTGGAGGTCCTGGACCTCCTCCTCCTTCTGAAGGTGGAGACCGGCCTCCTGATTGGAAATGTGGAGGTGGAAATCGTTATGGAGGATCTGAGTGTTCACATGGGTGGGAAAGTGGAGGTCTGGAGAGTCCAGGTCCTTATAGGGCAGATTGGGAGTCTGATGGAGAAGGTCCTCATTGTGGTGGGGAAAGTCGTCATTGTGGTGGAGGTCCTCATCGTGATGGGGAAGGTCTTGATTGTGGTGAGGAAGGTCCTTATTGAGGTGGGAAAAATCCTCATTGTGGTGGAGGTCCTCATTTTGGTGGGGGTCCTCAATACAGTGAGGAAGATGCTCAGTACTGGGGAGTTCTTCACTGTTGTTAGGAAGGTCCTCATTGTGAGGCAGTTCCTCATTTTGATGGGAAAATCCCTCAATGAGGGGAAGACTCTGGTGAGGGAGCTCCTCTTCGTGTCGGAGGTCTTCACTGGGATGGATGTCCTCACTGCGGTGGTCACCATTGGGTTGGAGGCCCTCACTGGGTTGGAGGTCCTCACTGTGGTGGTCCTCAGTATGGTGGAAGTCCTCAGTGTTGTGGAAGTCTTTAGTGTGGTGGTCCTCACAGTGTTGGAGGTCCTCACAGTGTTGGAGGTCCTCACAGTGTTCAAGGTCCTCACAGTGGTAGTTCTGGTTAACGAGTTCTCTATTATGGGGAAGGTTCTTACTGTGGATGTTTTGGAGAGAGAGGTTCTCCTTATGGTTGAGATTTTGAAGTTCTTCATGGTGGTATAGGTCCTGAAGGCAGAGCTCTTTATTACAGCAGAGGTCCTCATGCATTAGGTCCTCACTGTGGTTATCAGGGCGTTGTTGCAGATGATCATGTTTGTCAGCACTTGTATTCTGGTGCTGGGGACCCTCCTGGAGGTGTTCAGAAAAAGCCTCCTGATAGTGTTGGGGGCCTTCCTGATGGTGCTGGGGACCCTCCTGTGAAGTAAGAGCCTCCTGATGGTGCTGGAGACCCTCCTGGTGGTGTTGAGAATTAGCCTCCTGATGGTGCTGGGGACCCTCCTGATGGTGCTGAAGATCCTCATGATGGTGCTGGGGACCCTCCTGGTGGTGTTGAGGAAGAGTCTCCTGATGGTGCTGGGGACCCTTCTGGTGGTGTTGAGGAAGAGCCTCCTGATGGTGCTGGGGACCCTCCTGATGATGCTGAGGATCCTCCTGATAGTGCTGGGGAGCCTGCTGATGGTGCTGAGGACCCTCTTGGTGGTGTTGAGGAATAACTGCCTGATGACCCTGAAGATTCTCTTGGAGGTGGAAGTCCCCCAGCATCCAGTCCTTAGGGGGAAGATTCCTGGTGCCCATTCTTGGTACTACAGGTACACCCTGCCCAGTAAACAGACCCCCCCTTACACCTGCACGTGTTCCTCCTTGGTTAAAGTACCGGTGCACGTTACCCAATTAAACTGAAGTATTTGTATAGGATGACGAATAAACCTGCAGTTACGCGTTAAACCGCCTTAAATAGCGACATATTTTACTGGTTTAACATGAAATCCCGACGTGTGTTGGTGGTTTCAAAGGAGACCTTAAAACATTTTTTATGCCTGAGATAAAATTTTCAAGTTTACCAAGGTAGAAGAATTAAACGAACATCAACACACACACACACACATACACACGCAGACGGTCTGCACTACTGTTATACAGACACAAGTGAAGCACGTCTTCTAAGAGGCACACTTTGATATGGTTGTAGAGTGCGCTGTGCCTCAGCCGCACACACAAACGCCTCTAGCGAACACTCGAGCGCTCGCTGTCGCACGTCCGCACTGCTTGCCCGACGACCACGATGTGTGGCTCTTGCTAGCAACTCACGCACTCTAGGTTACCCGGCGGCGGCGGCGGTAGCAGGAGTGACGGCGGGAGTGACGTCAAGGTGATGGAAGTAAGAGCAACAATCATCTGTCTGGAGCCTCACATGATTGACAGATATACCTGAGAGACAACAACGTCACCAATACTCCCACACCTCTTAGATGGATATATGTTTGGTGGATCCAGGGATGGACTGCTGTACTTCTACGGTCATGTTGTACCATAAACAAGACCTTCACAAGTCACTTTCCTAATATTTTTCTCTTATATAAAACAAGAGAAAAATCTTTCCCTCGGATTATTATATTGTTATTTTCATAGGGAAGCGTCAAACCCGTAAGGTTGATAGCTGAGAGAAACCGATACGTATCAGGTTATATTACTCTAGGAAATCTTTATCAGACTATTTAACATACAACCAGAAGAAACACTGCTGAAACAAGTGTAAGTCTTCAAGAAGAAACACTGCTGAAACAAGTGTAAAAGTCTACAAGAAGAAACACTGCTGAAACAAGTGTAAAAATCTCCTTGAAGAAACACTGCTGAAACAAGTGCAAAAGTCTTCAAAAAGAAACACTGCTGAAACAAGTATAAAAGTCTCCAAGAGGAAACGCTGCTGGAACAAGTGTAAAATTCTTCAAGAGGAAACACTGTTCGAACAAGGTATAAAAGTCTTCAGTGATAAACACTACTGGGACAAATGTAGAAGTCTTCAAGATCATATTAGACAAGTACCGCCACCACATGTCAGGTTGTATTATCCTGTGCAGCATTATCCTGTACTGTATTATCCTGTGCTGTACTGACCTGGGTTGTATTTGCCTGTGTTGTATTATCCTTAGTTGTATTATCACGGGTTGTATTAGCCTGTGCTGTATTATTCTGGAGGAGGCGGGACAAGGAGAGGGTGGAGGTGCGAGATTAAGGGATGGTAAACTAAACTGAATTTCATGTGGTTAGATGGAGGCTAATTATGTGTCAATATTATGGAGGGTAGGTATGTGGAGATTATGTGAGTATGGTAGTCTAAGTATGTGGGTATAACGGGCCTCGGAAAAAATACGTCAAATTAAGGTGATCCCGACGGTATCACCATCTATCCTTGGAAGAATGGCAAGCTCTTAGCATGGGACTATACCTGTGTGTCCACACTGGCTGACACCTATATCCATCACAGTGTCGGGCGACAGGGAGGAGCTGCTGACGACAGGGAGGAGTACAAGATCAGCAAGTACAGGGACAGAAGCCAACAGTATCAATTTGTCCCAGTGGGATCAGAGACCTTGGGATCATGGGGAAAAAATGCCACAGGTTTCCTTAAAGAATTGGGTTTCAGACTCATCGACACCACCAGGGACCCAAGGGCAGCCACTTTCATGTTCCAGCGCCTCAGCGTGGCCATCCAGAGGGGAAATGCTTGCTGCATACTTGGCTCGCGTCTGACTTCGGAGGAGCTGGAGGAAATTCATAATCTTTAATACATTGTACCATTGTATTCATGTTTGTGTTTTTCTGTAAATGTATTCTGCTTATTAATAAATGTTCACATAGAATATAAAATATACGGGGTGGTAGGAGAAGAAAGTATTCAAACAGCTCCGGGGAGAACCTTGAGTTTTCCCTGAGGTACGTTTATTGTCTTCTCTGAGGATGAGGGTCCCCATTCCAGCTAGAAAGGTGGTACTTCCCTATATTATATAAAAAAAATTATATATATATATATATATATATATATATATATATATATATATTATATATATATATATATATATATATATATATATATATATATTATATATATATATATTACCATTACTGGCGAGTGTGGTAAGCCGGCAGAAGACACCTGACGTTATATCTGCAGGGCCTACCTCTCACTCACACACACAGCTCCTCGTCGAAGTAACATCTCCTTTCTGCACTTCTTAGTGATGTTTCCGTTGGTGAGCCGGAACATACATCTCAGAGGTTGTGCCGTGAGACACTTTCTAAGCTTGAGGTCCCGAGTTTAACTCGAAACACGTATCTTCTTCTCATCTACGCATAGTCGTAGTCGGGGTTTGGAATTTGTTAAACTTAGTTTCAATAATAAGGTTTTTTTTTTTGGCCGTATGTCAAGGACTTAACGATTGTCCTCAGTTACGGTCGTTTTTAGTTTCCTTTGCCTGACGCTGTTCTGTTCACAGCTGCTTCATGCATTATTACTGTTAGATGTATTGGTCATTCTACTGTTCTAGCTTGCTGTTATATTGCATCTCTATGGGGTCAGAAGTTATCTAGGGCCTTGTTTTGTCAGTCATATTCTAAGTCGAGTCTAAGCAAGCACTCATGCTCATACGCACAAATCACTCTTGCACTCCTGACTACATTTCATTGCAGTAACGTACCAGATAGAACAGTTTCTTAAAGTATATTGTAGTGTACAGTATCGTAACTAAAGTGCTCATGGTACCATTTAAATTAAATGTACAAAGTATATATATATATATATATATATATATATATATTATATATATATATATATATATATATATATATATATATATGTGTGTGTGTGTGTGTGTGTGTGTGTGTGTATAAAATATATATATATTATATATATATATATATATATATATATATATATATTATATATATATATATGGAAGTACCACCTCTATAGCTGGACTGGGGACCCTCATCCTCAGAGAAGACAATAAACGTACCTCAGGGAAAACTCAAGGTTCTCCCCGGAGCTGTTTGAATATTTTCTTCTCGTACCACCCCCTATGTTTTATATTCTATGTGAACATTTATTAATAAACAGAATACATTTACAGAAAAACACAAACATGAATACAATGGTACAATGTATCAAAGATTATGCATTTCCTCCAGTTCATCCGAAGCTGGACGCGAGCCAAGTATGCAGCAAGCATTTCCCCTCTGGATGGCTACGCTGAGGCGCTGGAACATGAAAGTGGCTGCCCTTGCGTCCCTGGTGGTGTCGATGAGTCTGGAACCCAATTCTTTAAGGAAACGTGTGGCATTTTTCCCCATGATCCCAAGGTCTCTGATCCTACTGGGACAAATTGATACTGTTGGCTTCTGTCCCTGTACTTGCTGATCTTGTACTCCTCCCTGGGGTCAGCAGCTCCTCCCTGTCGCCCAACACTGTGATGGATATTGGTGTCAGCCAGTGTGGACACACAGGTATAGTCCCATGCTAAGAGCTTGCCAATCTTCCAAGGATAGATGGTGATCCCGTCGGGGCAGTTTGCTGGGTTGTGGGTATTGTTGGCTGGTAGTGATGGGGCTCCCTCTCGGCTGGGCATCCAGCTGTAGCAAGGGTTCTTTTTATGATGTCGTTGACCTCACCGTGTCCTATGTAGACCGTATTGGTCTGCTTGCGCTTCGCCGCAAATACACGTATTCATCCAGATGTAATAACAAAGCGCTATTGTGAAGGGAAATTTGATACAGGATAACTGTACTAAAAAAACTAACAAACTTTTAGAAAACCAGAAAACAGTCTGGGTGGTAGAGGGGGATCAGTAAGTCGACTTAGTATCTTCTGGAGATCTCTATTCAAATAGATCTCATTTTGTAATCGGGAGATCTAAGTATGTGGGTATGGGGAAGCTAAGTATGTGGGTATGGGGAAGCTAAGTAAGTGGGTATGAGGAATCTACGTGGGTATGGGGAGGCTAAGTGATACCGGTATGGGGAGCTAAGTATGTGGGTATGGGGAAGCTATATAAGTGGGTACGGGGAAGACAGGTAAGTGGGTACGGGGAAGCTAAGTGAATATGGGAAAACTAAGTGGATATGGGGAAGCTAAGTGGGTATGGGGAAGCTAAGTATGTGGGTATGGGGAAGATATGTAAGCGGGTATGGGGAAGATATGTAAGTGGGTATGGAGAAGCTATGTAAGTGGGTATGGGGAAATTAAGTGGGTATGGGAAAACTAAGTGGGTATGGGGAAGATATGTGGGTATGGGGAAGATACGTATGTAGGTATGGGGAGGCTAAGTGGGTATGGGGAGGCTAGGTTTGTGGGTATGGGGAGATTATGTGGGTATGAGGAAGCTAAGTGAGTATGGGGAGGCTTAGTATGTGGGTATGGGGAGGCTAAGTATGTGGTACGGGGAAGGTAAGTGGGTATGAGGAAGCTACGTGGGTATGGGGAGGCTAAGTGGGTATGAGGAGGCTAAGTAAGTGGGTATGGGGAGGCTAAGCATCTGGGTATGGGGAGGCTAGGTATGTGAGTATGGGGAAGCTATATAAGTTGGTATGGGGAAGACAGGTAAGTGGGTATGGGGAAGCTAAGTGAATATGGGAAAACTAAGTGGATATGGGGAAGCTAAGTGGGTATGGGGAAGCTAAGTATGTGGGTATGGGGAAGCTATGTGAGTATGGGGAAGATATGTAAGTGGGTATGGGGAAGATAGGTAAGTGGGTATGGGAAAGCTAAGTGGGTATGGGAAAACTAAGTGGGTATGGGGAAGATATTTGGGTATGGGGAAGATAAGTATGTGGCTATGGGGAGGCTAAGTGGGTATGGGAAGGCTAAGTGGGTAAGGGAAGGCTAAGTGGGTATGGGAAGGCTAAGTGGGTATGGGGAGGCTAAGTTTGTGGGTATGGGGAGACTATGTGGGTATGAGGAAGCTAAGTGGGTATGGGGAAGCTAAGTGGGTATGGGGAGATTAAGTATGTGGGTATTGGGAAGCTAAGTGGGTATGGAGAAGGAAAGTGGGTATGGGGAAGGTAAGTGGGTATGGGGAGGCTAAGTATGTATGGGGAGGCTAAGTAAGTGGGTAAGGGGAGGCTAAGTGGGTATAGAGAGGCTAAGTAAGTGGGTATGGGGAGGCTAAGTATCTGGGTATAGGGAAGCTAAGTGGTATGGGGAGGCTAGGTATGTGGGTATGGGGAAGCTAAGTGGGTATGGAGAAGTTAATTGGGTATGGG